TACAGATTATCATACTAAGTGAAGTAAGTCAGACAGAGAAGGACAAATACCATATGATATCACTTATATATGGAATCTAAAATATGATACAAATGAATTTATTTACAAAACAGAAACAGACTCACAGACATAGAAAAGAAAATTATGGTTACCAAAGGGGAAAGGAGGTTGGGGAGGGATAAATTAGGAGTTTGGGATTAACAGACACACATTACCATATGTAAAACAGATAAACAACAAGGACCTACTGTACAGCACAGGGAACTATATTCAATATTCTGTAATAAACCATAATGGAAAAGAATATGAAACAGAATATAAACATATAGATCTGAATCACTTTGCTGTACACCAGAAACTAACAAAACATTGTAAATCAACTATACTTTAATTTAAAAAAAAAAGAAAAAGGAAATTCATTTGCAAAGATTTGTTGTGAGGTGAAGTTTGTTGCATTTGCCCATTCTGTTAGTAATACTTATTAATTGTTTTCCTTATTTCTAGCTATTTCTCATTGGCTCAACTGCTAGTAAAACACATATTAATAACATGAAATGAATGATGTAATGAAAAAATATTTGTATTCAGCAACCTCTGATCAATACATAGATCAGGGAAACGCTGAACTGAGTACAAATTAATAATTACCATAGCCTATCCTGTATGAATTGATACCATCTTGCATTTTCTGAAACATTTATAATTTATATCACCAATTATCTCCACAAGTCTGAGATAATCATTATAATATCAAGTTGAGAAAAGTATATCCAAGGATTAACTGAGATTCAAACCATTAGTATGCAGCAGGGAAAGAGTCACTGCTCAGGGAGGCATAGCTGTTAAAAGTACAAAATCTATAGCCAGATGGTCTGGGTTCAAATTTCACCTCAATTACCAACTAGTTGTGCCTCTTTTGAAAATGATTTAATTTGCCCTTCTTTTACTTTCTCGTCTGCAAATGTGGTGAATTACAGTACTGCCCTCAAACTATTGTAGTGGAGATTAAAGAGCTTAGAACTGTTCCAATCACATAATATGCACTCAATAAACAGTCTCTGTTGTTGTTGTTACTATATTGCTGCTGTTTTGAACTCATGTCCGGCAACTTTTACTACATTATGTCATTAGATGTAAGACCAGTTTTGAATTTACAGATAAGGTCAGAAAAAAAAACAGAACTTTGCAAAAGGGCAAATATACACAAACACGAGTGTGTTCGGCGGTCCCACGGATCTGTCTCTTGCTTCAACAGTGTTTGGATGGAACAGACCCAGGGACGCCCCTTGCTCCAGCCTCCGTCCACCCTTCAACCTTTTTTTCAGTCGCATTCTTCAAAACCAGCCACGGTGCTACCTTCAGCCTCTGGGACCAGCCAACACTGTTTTGTGAGCTTAACTCCTTATTACTGATCAACCATGAGCTCCCAGATTTGTCAGAATTATTCCAACAAGGTTGAGGCCTCTGTCAACCACCTGGTCAACATGCATCTGTGGGCCTTCTACACCTGTCTCTCTCTGGGCTTCTATTTCAACCACGACGATGTGGCTCAGAGCATCTCTTGAAAATGCAAAACCAGCGTGGCAGCTGCTCCCTCTTCCGGGACGTGCAGAAGCCATCTCAAGATGAGTGGGGTAAAACCCAGGATGCTATGGGAGCTGCTGTTGTCCTGGAGAAGAACCTGAACCAGGCCCTTCTGGATCTGCATGCCCTGGGTTCTGCCCGCGCAGACCCACATCTCTGTGACTTCCTGGAGAACCACTTCTGGGAATGAGGAGGTGAAATTCATCAAGAAGATGGGCGACCACCTGACTAACCTCTGCAGGCTCCCTGGTCCCCAGGCTGGGCTGGGCGAGTATCTCTTCGAAAGGCTCACCCTCAAGCACGACTAGGAGCCCCTGCAACCCAGCAGCCTTTACAGAGCCCTCTGGTGTCAGGGCTTCTGCCTGAAGCCTCCCTGCAGTCACCAGGCAGATTTTTAACCATCCTGGAGCCCTCTCCCAAGCCTTGGACCAAATGGAAACAATAAAGTTTTTTGCAACAACAACAACAAAATATATAGCACGTGTGTGTGTGTGTATAAGTATCCTCTAACCATGTGCAGTGGTAACTCCACCTGGTACTTTCTTGGTTCTAGATAATATAGTAAGTGTCAGGATATAGTGTTGCACAATTCAGATACAATCCTCTCTCAAGGAGCTTACATACCAGAAGAGGAAACAGATGTTAAAGAAGTGATTATACTAAAACAAAATCATTTCTAATTGTACTGAGGGCTTTAAAGCAAGAAGTCATTTGGCAACGTACTGCTCAAAAGACTTAGAAATACTCAAGTTCAGTTACAATGACTGGAATTTTGTCTCCCTGAAGGCATGTCTAAAAAGTAATTGCTCTTTAAATTGCTGGGAAAAAAGTGTTATGGCAGAATATCCATGGTTTTTATTAAAAGAATGGAAAACAAAACTTTATCCTTTTCATCTTTTGCTATTCAAGTGTGGGAAACAAAGAATCTGACAGAGGTGGGTGCGTGTAGCTCAGTGGTAGAGTGTGTGCTTAGCATGCATGAGGTGCTGGGTTCAATCCCCAGCACCTCCATTTAAAAAAAAAAGAATTCGAGAAAGAGAATCTAGTGGAGTAATTCAGGTCTTCGGAGACAGGTACTCTTATTATGAAGAGGATAGATCTGTTGTTGCAGGGTTCTGGGGGGAAGTGGCTAGAACAAATATGCATTAATGGGTTCATGGATTGTAAGTAGTATGTTAAGAAATTGCTGTGGTCTGAATGCTTGTGTCCCCCAGGTTTCACACATTGAAATCCTAGTCCCCAAGATGACAGTATTAGGAGGTGGCATTAGGTGGTGGGGGCCTTTGGGAGGGCTTAGGCCAAGAGGGTAGAGCCTTCATGAATGGGACTAATGTTCTTATAAAAGTGAGATACTGGCGTTCTGCAACGCAGCAGAGGGCCTCTGCCCAGTCAGGCTGCCACCACTCTCCAGAACTGTGAAAAACAACATTCTGTTGCCCATAAATTACCCAGTCTGTGATATTTTGTTATAGCAGCCTGAATAAACTAAGACCAATACAAAATAAAAACTGCCTATGTATTGATCAGCGATCTCTGAATACAAAAATTCTTTCATTACTTTTGTCATTAGTTTATGTTTTATTCCCAATCGAGCCAATAAGAAATAGCCATGAGGTTCTAATGATTAACATTACATAAAGTGATCAGATACATACCGACTGCCTACTGTGTCTCAGGTGCATTTCTAGGCATCTGGGGCATACTAGTGAGCAAAATGCACCAAGATCTCTATTCCTGGGGTATGTTTAATAATTCAGTGGAAAATATCCACCTACCCTGTCTTTGTGGAAAGAGAGGGAGGGGGAGCAGGACCATCTTCTAGGGTAGAATTGAGGGCAAACTCCAACTAAGGGAGCTCCCGTCAAGGAAAGGGAAGGCTGGGATATTTGAGATGTTCCTCCTGCTTGTCTCCATGATGTCTGCTGACCCAAGGTATCGTCACCCCCCACAAGCAACGACACTGGGGGCTCACTTGCAGCCAGGTCTGTTGTCCAGGCAGTCACTACCTGTCCCAAGCATCATAGGCCATCAGTATTTCCAGACAGAATATTCAGGGCACGTGGAGAAGGTGGACCACCTTTCCAGAGTGATGTTGCGGAGTCACGGGAGTCGAAGCCCGCACAATGGATTGAGAAGGGAAAGACTGTTAAGGAAGTCTTCTTAGAAGACAGAGTGAGATTCGGTGGCTTTAGATGTCCTGAAATCAGCCATCCTGGATGCTGCCACTAAGATGTTTGCTTCAGGATTCCTGACTAAGGAGTTTACATGAAAGGAACAGTGGACCAAAGAAAAGCACACTGCAGTGGGGCTGCGTCTGACACCAAGTTAAGAACCAAGGCCAGAATACAAGGTGAAAATCATGTATGGACAGAATTACCCACAAAAATTCCATACTCATCCCAGGTTAAAGTGCTTGGCCCCTGTTTTTATTTTTATAACTATATTTCACATCCTATATCCCTTTGCTAGTCAATTTTTTTATGTCCTTAGTTAATTCTTCAATGTCTCTCTCAAGAATATCGACAAATCCATCACCATTCACATATCTGGCCACATGAAGCAGGCATTTCCTTCCCCCTGTCTTTTTCTTTCTATCTCAATAATCCTTTGAATCAACTGCATACTATTTCCTTTGGTTTGCTAACACATACCGAATCTTTTCATCTTTGATTGTACTTAGCATAAGCGATGGCCAATTACATACAATATTTGAGTAAGTTAAATGTGTGTTTGGCAATCTTTCATTGTAACATTTGTAATTGTCTGGGGAGTCTCAGGGAGATGCAGACTATCTGGGATAAACTGGATTGGAAGGAAGGCCTCTGATTCTCTATTTCTCTCTCTAGAGGGCTGAGCACAAGAGGGGACCCTTGCCTGCTTATTGACTTAACTAAATGACCGACTGACTTAGCCACATGATGGGGAGAGAAAATGATCCATCTGCCCCAGGGGAGCAAACCCAGCCAGGATTTACTCCAGCATGCAAATGAACAAGAGTGTATTCTTATGGATTCTGAAAAAGCAAACGTACCCTACAATACAGCCCAGCTAATAGCCTAATATCCTTGGTCCTGAACAAGCAGATTAGCAAATCCTCCTCTCCTGAGAGGGAGCAGAAAGGGAGATGGGAAGAGAGGAGAAAGGATGGGGGAAAGAATTAGAAACATGGGAAGAAGGGCAAAAGTGTGTGGAGAAGGGTAAAGATGCCTCTCTCCCCGGAAGTCCTCCATGGCAGAGCCATTGTTCTATAGTCACAAAATGAACCCAAAATTTACAATGAAAAACACCACCAAAAGAAATGTCTCCTAGGGAGGAAGGTACAGCTCAAGTGGTAAAGCACATGCTTAGCATGCATGAGGTCCTGGGTTCAATCCCCAGTACCTCCTCCAAAAATAAACAAATAAGTAAACCTAATTACCTCCCCCTCCCCCCACAAAAAGAATAAAAATAAATTTAAAAATGAAATGCCTCCTATTATTAATTTTTCAATGAAATGTTCCTATGCCTTACAAATACAAATACAAATACAAATACAAATACAAATACAAAAACAAAAAACAAAAAACAAACCTAAGTTCCAAAATGCTCTGCTCTCCAATGTCCTCTTCTGTTCATCTTATTTAAACCATCTGGATACCTCGTTAGAATGTATTTTCCTTTAGCTATAACTGAGCTTAACCCATCTTTCACTTCAGTGATTATAGGTCCTTAAATCTCCAAAGTTGAAACATACACCCTTGCTTTCCACCCACAGTGTCTTATATGTCCTATTTCCCCCAAAATAAAAAGGATAATTGCACATAAATGAATATTACAAAAAATATCTCTATACTTAAGTTTATAAAATCTGCCTGGAGCAATAATATTTAATGAGCAAAAGCAATGTTTCTTGATTACTATTGCCAGCCACAGTGGTAGGGAAATGGAAAAAGAAAAACAAAAACAAGGAGAATGTGGTTGTTTTCAACCTAGACTGTCAGTCAACTTCTACCAGATGTCCACAGTCCACACACTATGAGCTAAAAATCAACCAGAAGAAATATCTCCTTTAAGAAGTTAATAAAGATTTCATGCCTTATCTATGTATTCTCTGTCAGGGGCGGGGGGAGGTGAAACTCTGTCCAGAGTTTTATAAACATTGTCTAAAGTTTACTTAAGGAAGTCTTCCCATTAGTTTATGATAAACCTCTATATTTTCTTTTCATTTTTGAACCTCATGTTCCCAGCATCACAATATTAAATGGAGTTTTTCTTCTACAGTATTTTTTTAAGCAGGGTACCCTTATTTGTAATAGGCAAGTCTAAGCACCTTAGTCTTCATTCAGGTCTTTTGCTCCGGAAGGTGTATATCTTCACCCCCAGCAGGAACCTCAGACCTTTCAGCCCTATGTCACAGACCTGTCACAATTACCTTCTGCAGAGACATTCTTTATGCCTAAGAATCCTGCCCCCTAGAGAAGGTGTCTTTCTTGCTCCCAAGGTCACTTCAGCTGAAGAATTACTTTTAACTTGTGCCTTTAACAAATTAACTTCTTTTTTTTTATTAAATTGAGCCCTAACATATACTATATAGTGCCTAGATCCTAATTCCATAGCTGAATGAAATTTTCCATACAAATATACTTGTGTACCTGGCTTCCCGATTGAAACAAAGAAGTTTTCGGCAGCTTGTTCTTGAATTGAGCTCTTGGTGTTTGGGGAGCAAAGTCTGTGCTCCCAAGTCCAGGTGAGGAATAGCATGTCTCTTTCCACAAGCTCTCTCCTT